TTTTTAAGTGGAATTTGTTTGGAGACCTATGAGCTTCATGAATTTGGGTGGCCAAATCTCTCCCCAGATTTGGGAAATTCTCATCAATCATTTTTTAAAAGGCTTTCTTCCCCCTTCTTCCTCTCATATCTTTCTGGGACTCCAATAATTCACAGATTGCTTCTCTTAATGGCATCCCATAGTTCAAATTGGCTTTCTTCACTCTTTTTCATTACTTTTTCTTTGTTCTCCTCTAATCTGGCTGTCTTGCAGAAGTAACTCTAAAGTTTATTTTTTTAAATGGCAAAAGGACATGGAGAAACAATTAATTATACTATTTATTGCTTATTTCCATCTCATCAATCAGACATAAAAAGGTTTGACAGAGGGAGATTGAAATGAGTGTGCATTTGGGCAAGCCACATATATAAAGGCAGGCCACAGTTTGGTCTGCCTTCTGAATAAGCCTTATTTTGCAGCTAGGAAGTTAATGATTTGGTTTCCTGGGTTGACAGGAAATAATAGCCTGAGAATGGAAAGACCCAGCAGTTCTCGACTTAGAGTATCTCCAAGTGCATCAACCCAAATTGAACCTTCCTGTAGAATAAAAAAGGAAGATAAGGGAATCTATATATGCTTTAATCTTTACTTAAAACTAAATGAATTTTATCTTTTTCAAAGTCAGTTAAGTTTTCTGCAGCCACACATGTCTGAATGCTTTAATTCCACTGAGCAACTCTTCTGTTAGGTTCATCTCTGTCCACATTTCATTATAAAACCTTTCATGAAAAATGAAGTAAGAAACTTCTGCTAGTTGGGAATTCATAAGCCATGAACCCAATATCTCAAACTTGCATTATATACAGCTTGGGATTCAGCTGGATTCTTTGTTCACATTGAAATCGAGATTTTTTTTTTCCTTCTTTTCCTCTTTTTTTGCCTTTGGCTCAATAAATTTCGTAGAAATAAAAGTGTAGAGAAAACTTAGCTGCTCACGTATGATTGAGCAGTCTGTAAAATATTCTTTAACTTTTCAATATACTCTTACAATTTGTATTTGATTTATTTAAACTGTTCTGACATTCTATTGTTTTAATAATTCAAAGTAATAAAGTATTTCCTTTTTACACCCTGAATGTGTGGCAAATGCCTCAATACATATATATAAAGAATTTTTTAGATGGTGAATTCTGTATTGTGGCTTCCAGATTACTTTCTTTTGTTCTTTTTTTTTTATGTTTATTTATAGTCACTGTAGATTGGCATTGTGTTACAAAGAAAGATATCATCAGTGAACTCAGGCCAGAAGCTTTGGGCAACTCTATTCACATATCCTTTTGCAATATAAAAAGACAAAAATGAAATATATTTTTGGAAGTATTATTTTAGTCCAGTATGCTTTAATAATTTTAGTTTCTACAGGTATGTTGGAATCAATCCTTCAGAGACATAGATTAACAAGTGTGAAAGGAAGGATGAGTCAGTTATCTATGCAATTTTGCTTAAAAACAATAGAAATTTCGGGCTGGCCCTGAGGCTTAGTGGTTAAGTGCGTGCTCCGCTACTGGCGACCTGGGTTCGGATCCTGGGGGCGCACCGACGCACCACTTTTCCGGCCATACTGAGGCCTCATCCCACATGCAGCAACTAGAAGGATGTGCAACTATGACGTACAACTATCTACTGGGCTTTGGGGAAAAAAAAAGAGGAGGATTGGCAATAGATGTTAGCTCAGAGCCAGTCTTCCTCAGCAAAAAGAGGAGGATTAGCACGGATGTTAGCTCAGGGCTGATCTCCCTCACACACGCACACACACAAAAAACAAAACAAAACAATAGAAATTTCAAGATTAAATTCATATATAAAGTTTTGACTATTTGTAGGATGGTTGATTACAAACTCTTGTTTAAATATAAAAAGAGGAACCTGTTATTAAAGGTGGTGAGTTTGTAGAGTCAGTTTGAGAACAATTGAGTATGAGTCATCTCTTCGATAGCCAAATATACACATATACCAGGCATTCAGTATAAAATCTAGAGTTCAAAGTCTAGAGATATATATTTGGCAATTATGAATATTCAAATGGTTTTTAAACAATGAAACAGGACGACATTGTCCATGAAATGCATGTATATAAAAAATATCAATAACCAAAGGAACATCTTATTTTAAAGGATATTTATTAGTTTTCTATTGCTTTGTAATAAATTACCACAAACCAAGTGACTTAAAACAACACCTGCTTGTTAGCTCACAGTTTCATAGGTCAGACGTGCAGCATGGTTGGCTGGATTCTCAGCTCAGGTTGAAATCAAGAAGTTGGCTATTTAGTCTAATGTAGTCCCATTTGTTAATTTTTTCTTTTGTTTCCCTTGCCTGAGGAGACATGGTATTTGAAAAGATACTGGTAAGACGGATGTCAAAGAGTGTACTGCCTATATTTTCTTCTAGGAGTTTTATGGTTTCAGGTCTTACATTCAAGTCTTTAATTCATTTTGAGTTAATTTTTGTTTATGGTGCAAGATAATGGTCTACTTTCATTCTTTTACATGTGGTCGTCCAGTTTTCCCAATGAAAAGACAATCCACCAACTGGGAGAAAATATTTGCAAATCATATATCCAAAAAAGCATTAATTTCCAAAATATATGAAAAACTCATACAACTCAACAAAAAAACAAACAACCTGATCAAAAAATGGGCAGAGGGTATGAACAGATATTTCTCCAAAGATATACAGATGGCCAACAGACATATGAAAAGATGCTCAACATCACTAATTATTAGGGAAATGCAAACCAAAACTACAATGAGGGGCTGGCCTGGTGGTGTAGTGGTTAAGTTCGCATGCTCCACTTCAGTGGCCCAGGGTTCAAAGATTGGGATCCCGAGCGTGGACCTATGCACCACTTATCAAGCCACGCTGTGGCAGGTGTCCCACATATCAAGTAGAGGAAGATGACCACAGATGTTAGCCCAGGGCCATATTTCTTCAGCAAAAAGAGGAGGATTGGCAATGGATGTTAGCTCAGGGCTAATATTCCTCACCAAAAAAACAAAAAAAACAAAAAACTACAATCAGATATCACCTTACACCTGTAAGAATGGCTATAATTACCAAGACAACAAACAAATGTTGGAGAGGATGTGGAGAAAAGGTAGCCCTCATACACTGCTGGTGGGAATGCAAACTGGTGCAGCCTCTATTGAAAACAGAATGGAGAGTTCTCAAAAAATTAAAAATAGAAATACCATATGATTCAGCTATCCCACTGCAGGGTATTTATCCAAACAACTTGAAATCAACAATCCAAAGAGACTTATGCACCCCTGTGTTCATTATAGCAATATTCACAATAGCCAATGGAATACAACCCAAGTGTCCTGTTACAGATGAACAGATAAAGAAGATGAGGTATATATATATACATATATATATGTATATATACACACACAATGGAATACTACTTAGCCATAAAAAAGACAAAATCATCCCATTTGCAACAACATGGATGGACCTTGAGGGTATGATGTTAAGCAAAATAAGCCAGACAGAGAAAGACAATACTGCTTGATTACACCCATATGTGGAAAGTAAACAAACACATGGATAAAGAGAACAGATTAGTGGTTACTAGAGGGGAAGAGGCCTGGAGGGTGGGCGAAAGGGGTAAAGGGGCACATGTGTATGGTGATGGATAAAAATTAGATTACAGGTGGTGAGCACAATGCAGTCTATACAGAAACTGTTAAATAATAATGTACACCGGAAATTACACAATGTTATAAACCTTTATGATTTCAATAAAATTATTGGGGAAAAAAGATGTTGGCTAGCTGTGTTCTCACCTAGAATTCAGGGTTCTCTTTCAAGCTTATTTGGGTTCTTAGAAAAATTGAGTTCTTTGAAGTTTTAGAACTGAAATCTCCATTTCTTCAATTGCTGTTAACTGAGAGATGCTCTCATCTTCTAGAGGCCACGTACACTCCACATCAAATAGTCCCCTCTAGCTTCAAGCCAGCCACAGTGCATCAAATCCTTCTCCTGCTTCAAATCTTTCCCTATGTCAAAGCCAGAGAAAAACTCTGCTTTTGAAATGGTTCATGGGATTAGTTTAGGTCCACCTAGATAATCTTCCTACCTTAAGGTCAACTGTGCCAGGTGACATGATATAATCACGGGAGTGATATCACATCATTTTCACGGGCACAGCTTGTGGCGCAGCCCTGGGAGGCCATTTTGGAATTCTGCTTATCATAAGGTGGATCGTAAGATCTTGAAATGAAGAAAAGAAAAATAGGGATACAAGAAAAAAAGAAGGATAACAGTTATTTTAACGAAATAATTGATGATCAATATAGGGACTTAAAGTGCCTATTTGTCTTGGAAAAATAGAATTCACTTTAAGAGAGAAGCTTCAGAGGAAAAATAGAGTTAGAAATTTGAAGGCAGTAGATTGGAGTATGAATTGGGATTACAGCAGCAGACTGCTCTTTCAAGAAACTTGGCAGAGATGAGACGGAAATGGGGCAGAAAATAAGAAGATCAAGGAGGAGAGAGGTGCAGGTGTTTTTGTTTGGAGATGATCCAGGAGAGAGGAAGAGCTTAAAGAACGCTAGAAAAAAGAATCGAGTAAATTAGGAATCCCATGTACAAAAGTTAAAAAAAAATTAACAAAGCTCATGAGCTGAGGGTTCACAAAAGCCTATGTGGATTTTTTTTTTCTTACACAAAGTAGTCCATGCTTGCTTAACAGCACAAAATAAGTGGCTCTGGCATTTCTGTGTGTGCTAACATTTCTCCTGGTATGTGCCTTTCAGTCCCTCAAAGTATGTCTTAATTGCATTCTGAGCATATTTTGCAAAACAAACTGGTCTGAAAAGGTAACCAAATATTTGAAATTACAACACTCCAAGAGTAGCTAGATACCTGGTTGGCATATTCAACTAACACAGAAATCGCATTGAGTTTTAGGATTTAAAGTGTCAGACTTAGAGTAATTAACAGATACATATTGAATATGCTATCCTTTTCCTGTCAATTTAGCAGCTGAAATTGCAAAAATACCTAGTTTCTCAATGGTTATTTTAACCAAATAGCTATATGTTCCATTTATTTGTAATTGATTGGCAAAAGATGTAAGAAAATCAGCTGAATAAACCCAAACATGCTTCTTGGTATAAAATATACACTTACCATCAGAATTAATTATCAACTCATAGAATATTTTAAGACAGAGTATAGACCACGTTTAGTATTGTATCTAAAAGGAAGTACAAGATTTTCCCAAGACTTGTCCTTTCTATTAACACACACACACACACACACACACACACACACACCCCTATCTGAAAATACCTTTGTGAATGACTATTTTATATAGTAGAATTAACACTACTTTGTGGAATAGTATATTTCAATAAATTATAAAAGTAGAAATTTGTGAAGTAAATTCTTATGTTTATTTTTTTAAATGATAGTTATATTTCTTTGGAACTAAATTCTTCAAAAGATTGAAATGAAAATGTTTGCTTATTGGAAGGTGAAGATGGAGTCCAGTCTTTGGAATGCTGTGTGTGTGTGTGTGTGTGTGTGTGTGTGTGTGTGTGTAAGAACATACTAAGTACTGTAATTAAGTCTAATAATTAGAGTTAATTCTTGATCGCAAGTGTGGTGGATAGAATAATCGTCCTCTAAAGACGGCCATGTCTTAAACTCCAGAACCTGTGACTATGTTGCCTTAAATGGCAAATGAACTTTGCAGCTGTTTAAGTTAAGAATCCTTGAGATGAGAAGATTATCCTGGTTTATTTGGCTGGGCCCAGTGTAATTACAAAGGTTCTTATACAATGGAGGTAGGAAGGTCAGAGTCAGAGAAGGATGTACGATGACTGAAGCAGAGCTACAGAAGATGTGAGGCTGGGATCATGAGGCAAGGAATGAAGATGGTCTCTAGAAGCGGGAAAAGGCAAAGGAACAGAATCCAATCCCTACCCCCTCCCATCCCCACTAGGGCATTCAAAAGGAACGCAGCCCTACTGATGGCTTTTAGATTTCTGATGTCCAGAACTATGATATAATAAATTTCTATTGTTTTAAGCTACTAAGTCTATGGTAATTTATTACAGCACTAATAAGAAACTAATACACCAAGTACATTCTAATGTAATCAGTCACACTCAGGGTAGTATGTTTAGTTTAATGCTTTTTTCCATAATTATGGCTGTATCATAAAAAAATTGTGTATCTTACAATTTTAAATAGAGGTAAATTAGGAAAAAAACAAGTTGATTAAAGCATTTCAGAAAGAGTGAGCAAATTCTCAGGATCTACTGTCACCCTTTTAAATAATCAGTATTCAGATTAATCCTACTTCTAGTGAAGTAGAAAGTAAAATCCTAGTAGGAGGAGTTTGGTAAAACACACACAAAAAAGGAAGTGCTAGGAGTTCTGCAACATATAGGAGTGTGATCTTAGGCAGCAATGACAAAGGACAGCACTTCATCAAAGATCTCAGTTGCTAGGTAACATCTAGTTTAACAGCTCTAAGAGAGGCACAGAACATGATTGTGTCTCAGGAGGATCCTCCCTCTCCCTGGGTGGCCTACAAATTAGAGAATGACCTCATTTACTTGGCCATCATGGTCACCACTCATAGCCTCATTGATGAAGTCTTTCTTGGCTCCCCCACTTTGTGTCCTATCCTCTTGCTGAGGATAAAAGTTTAGGTGCCTAAGATTCAGCCTCAAGGTATCTCACACGGATGTCAGCTCAGCAGTTTGTCGGCTCACTGGAAAGCAGACAATGAGTGAGACATGGATTCTCTTTGGGAACCACACACCTCTATGCCTTTCTCTGGCTATTTACAGGAGAAACTGTTACTTTGTCACTCTCAAAGGTACTCTACAACTAAGCTCAGGGGACTTCCACTTACATATGTAGCATTGATCACATGTTTTTATCTCTGTTCCTTCCTCAAATCTCACTAATCTAGCAAGAAAGAAAATGAAAATTTTACATCATAGTCCAAAAAGGGCATAAATAATGGAAAAGTAATAAGTACAGATAAGAAATGTCAACAAATTTTGAGAGAAAGAAAGTGGACCATGAGTGGCAACTGACTTAGAAGAGAGAGAAAGATAATTTTCAAGGGCATGCAATAATATGCTAACTAATTTATCCCAAGAAAGCCAGAAGGCTCAGAACTTTGCAGGAAATAACTACTCTGAAGGTTCAGTTAGGAGAGTTGAGACTGAAAACAGTATTTACAACTGAGTTCTCCAGATTTCTTCCCCAAGGCCCTGAATACTAGGAAAATGTAGCTTTCCTACTCCAGCAGAATTGAGGGAGTATACTCTCTGAGAAGGCTGTATCAGTAAGGCTCTGGACTCAAAGAACTAAATACAGCCAAAGAGTAAACTCAGGATTACTGCAAGTCTACAATGATGCATAGCGACACCCCTCTGCTCTCTTCCTCAACGTATTTTCCAGGATTCTGTCTGGGCAGAGGACAGACCAAGGGTAGACCTAAAGATAATGACATTTCAGGATTTCCCCAATGGAGTAACAGACTCTCTTACTAATCACCTTATGGCAAAATTCTTTATTCTATAAATGAGACTTATCCAATTGCTACTTTAGTGCCTCACTTATAAATAGTTTTCCAAAGAATACCGAATATGTGCCCATAACAACAGCAAAAAAGAACTCAGCAGAAACAGGCAGAACTTTTAGGTAAAAAAATTTAATTAAATCTATAAAATCAGGCAACAGAAGAAAGGAAAATGCATTCTTAAAAACAATATCACAATCCTATGCAAAAGGAGTATTTAGAAAACAAAAAGAACCATATGCCTATGTTCTGGCTGATGAAGTATGCAGTTATTATGTGTGACTTCTTGGTAGTGCTGTTAAAGGAAAAGAGTCCTCCACTTCCCCCTTCTCTTCTTTCTGCTGGTTGGCATGTGCGCAAGTGGCTGGACCAGGCATGATAAATAATAAAATGGAAGCCAAGTGTTGAAAATGGCAGAGACATAAGAGTGGATGAACTTGAGCCCTAATACTGTGGAAATATCATGTCAGCCCTCCACTACCAATATTTAGACAGTTATCACAAGAGAGAAATATTTCTGTTTGACTTAAGCCACTGTTATTCAGAGTTTTTCTACAGCAACCAAATCTGATAATGGTACATGGATGATGTCTTTCCGATAAGCACACTGACATCACAAATGAAGAAAAGGGAAAATGATGCAAATGAATATTGGGAGCAAGTAGCAGTGACTGTCACAAAGCTAATAGTAAAATATCTACAGTTTTGACCAAAATATTGATCAATGAAATATTTAACCAAAATTATGATACTGATTTTAGCCAAAATATCAATCAAAGGATATACAAACCATTTAAGAATAGCAAGGTCTCAAATGTTTACCTTTATTCATTGTTTCTCAGGAAGCTACTTGAGAATATGTTTCATAAAAATGATTAGCAGTAACCATGAAAAGATAAAATATGGGAACCAGGAAACTAGTATTCAATACAGGAAAAAGGCACCAAGACTTCCCAGGAGCACAATAAAAGGAAGTTCATGACAACAGCAGTTTGTCAGGTCTAGAACACAACCAATTCAAATTGCAAGATGAAGACAGAGTGTTTCTGGAAGAATGAGTCCAACAAAAAAATGGAATTGATAGTTTACCTAATAAAATATTTGAGCATGTTGACAGGAGTTTCACAGTTTTCTCAGAAAGTCTGGGTTAATCAATCAGTGACAGGCAAAAAAAAAAAAATATACATACACAAAAATTAAACAATTACTAGCTCCAAGAAAATCAAAAGGCTGTCCAAAACAGTAAATGTAATCACAATAAATTATGGGAGTCAGTTTAAATACTATTTATAGTCATAAAAATATAACTACTAAATACTGAACCAGGAATTGAGATATAAGAGTATTGGGAGAAGTGTGTGGTGGGGGAAATGATAACAGGACATTGAATAAGGTTACATTCTCATCTTTCATAGTTGGCGGTCAATTACCTTCTAAAATGGAAAAACCTAGAAATGGTAATATAGGCTATACTAGTTTTTAGAAACATAGCAAAACATGCCAGAAGAAAAGGTTAAGTGAGTTATATATAAGTTTGCCTCTGGTGAGTGGAAATCAGAGATATGGAAGGGTGAGGCAGAAACTGCTATTCTTAGTCATACAACTTATAGTACTAACACTTTTATAAACAAATTTACATATTAAATAAAAATCCAGTTTAAAAATACTCATTTTCCTACAGTTCTTACTTTCAGCCACATAAAAGTTCCCAAGGCAAAGAAATGCAGATTCTCTACCTGCTTGAAAGTGAAAGAGTATATCAGGAAAATTTCCTACCATATCAGTTATAATTTGCCCACAGCACTTCAGTGTGGATCAATGCCAGTCTAAAATACAGCAAATAAACAAGCTTTGCTTCTGGTTTCCTGAGCACTGGCCACTCTCCCACGCACCCAATCACCAATTACATCCCAAAATTTCAATAAGAAGAGGGTACTGAAGTGAGGTAGAAGCTTACATTTTCTAAAACAATATGTTCAGTAGACTTAGTGTATTGCTAATTTCTTATCTGAAATCCAAATAAGATATGCATATTTCATATTAATATCCTTGGAAGTATAAGACTAGTGTCACCAGAAATGACAAGAACATGTATATTTTTCTGTCTATAAGTAATTTAATGTCACTTAATCATAATTAATAGCTCTATGGAGTTAAGTAAAGCATGTTTCTATAACTTTTAATAAATATTGTCTTATTGTGCAATATGATTAAGGAGTAATTTATACCTTTTCACTTCTCCAGACTTTCTTTCTTTCCTTTCCTCTTTTCTTCTCTTTATAAACTTTTTCTCTTAGAAAGAATTTTCTTTATCCCTTCCAGAAATACTAGATTATAGGCATGTTGCTCTCCAACAATAGCCAGAACAAAGCTCATCAATTTAAGAACAGAGAGTGCATCATGTAATGAATTTATGTCTGTA